AACAAAACTCGGGGAGACTGGGAAAAGGAGGTGGGAGAGGGGAGGGAAGCGGGGCCTAGTGGTTGGAGCACGGGGGGCTGGGCGCCAGGATTCCTGGGTTCTATGCTGGGCTCGGGGAGGAAAGCGGGGCCTAGTGGTTGGAGCACGGGGGGCTGGGCGCCAGGATTCCTGGGTTCTCGTCTCGGCCCCTGACTCAGTGTGACCATCAGCAGGTCACGTCCCCCTGTGGGAAGGGAGGGGGATGGGGGGCTCTGATCAGACCCCCTCCCAGCATTTGGAGCCCAGGACTCCTGCCTCCCCCCAGGGGCTGCACAGCCCTTCCGGAGTCTCCGAGGGAGGGGCTAGCTCAGACCCCAGCAGGGGAGGGGCGTGGGACGTCAGGGGCAAACGCAGCGGGGCAGGGTTGGGGGCAGTGGGCAGCCACTCCTCCCCTGCTGCCCTGGGTCTGCAGCACAGTCCCCTGTGGGCTCCCTGGGCCTGGAGCTGCCATGCTGGGGCCCTGCACCTCTTCCCCCGTGGGGCACGTGGCAGGGGAGCCTGGAGGGTGATCAGACTCGTGAGGATGTGCACGAGGCAAGAGGCTGGCTTGGGGGGCGGAGCTCCATGCCCAGTGCTCTGCCCACTAGCCCTTGCTGCCCTTGTTCTGGCTGCGCTGCGGGACTGCTTTGGCGGGCAGGAGTGCAGGAGCCATGCAGCCCTGGGCAGGGGATCCTAACGGCTGGGACTTTGCCCCTGGCCCATGGAGCAGAGAAGGAGGGGGGGTCCTAGCACCTTGTCCCCCAGCTCCTGCTGCAGGACAGAGGTCACCAGGGACCGCAGTCCTCGGGCGAAGCGGGGCAGCCTTGCTCCCTGGTGCAGAGCCAGGGCCCAGCTCTCCAAGCCACCATGAGACTCTGGGCATAGTTGGGAACGCAGCCCGGCCCGAGGCTCGGGGGGCTGGGAGCCGGCCTGCACATGGCTGGATCACCCCTGCGTCCCCTTGGGCTCGGCCCCTGCTGTGGAGGGTTCCCAGTGCCCAGTGCCCCGATCCCGTCGGGCTGGCGCACCGAGCTCCGTTGTGCTGGCACTGCCCAGACAGCCCCTGCCCCGCAGAGCTCAGCGCCTGGCTAGAGCGGGCGCTGTTCCCATTTCACAGCTAGGAAATTAGAGCCCCGTGGGGCGGGGGGGTGACATGCCAGGGTCCCTCTGGGCAGGACGTGACCCCAGCACCCAGCCCTGCAACGCGACCCGAGTGGCACCTCCCGCGACCAGCAGGAAATGACAAACCCTCCAGGAACGACGGTCACCGGCCACTTCCCGGAGCCGCTGAGCCGGTCTGGGCAGGGGTACGCCTGCTG